CTCTCTTTCTCTTTCTTTTTTTCTCTCCTACAGCCCCACACCCCCACCCCCTTTAAACCAAATCAATACAGAATGAAAATGAATCTATCCAATCATAGATCTAATTATAGAACAGTGCGCTTGCAAATTAAGGAACGCAGTCTAAAACCAATTTTGCCTTTCAAGCACAGCGTGTCTCTCCCTTGCCAGCGGCAGTGTCTGACCTCTGCTTGTTGTAATAAAGTTTGTAGACGGCTCCTGCAGAATCAAAGCCGCACAACAAAGGCAGGAAAAGGGTTTTAGGCCAGCCCAGGTTAAGCTGGAACAACGCCAGCGAGTAACTAGGAATTCAGCCTCGGCTTAATGAATCAAGGAGCACATTTGTGAGCTAATAACGACATCTTGTTAGGCTGTGCCTCTATTTGTAGTTCTGTGTTAAGAAATTATGATACAGCGACGGGGAATGTGATGTTTTTATGTCTTTGATCATGATCCTGTGTTTGTGCTTCAACAGAGAGGTCCTAATAAAACCCCAGTGGCAGCCATATGTTTAACGAGCTTGATCACCATGGCCTTCATCTTCATTGGCCAGGTTAACATCCTGGCTCCCATAGTTACAATAAACTTCATGCTCACTTACAGCTTCATAGACTATTCCTACTTCAGTGTGTCAATGAGTTATAAACTTCAGATGAAGCTGAGGAAGCCCCTGCCCCCCGAAGGCTCTGCTCACAATTCCAGTAAGCCTTTAATTCTCACCAAGCATTCCCGATATGGAACAGATGACATAGTGAAGACCCAGAGAAATGGAACATTGCTGGAGTTCACTAAGGACATGGACCAGATATTTCAGTCCCCCGGCCCAGCTACGGAAAAAGCAAAGAAAGAGAAGGAAAGTGCTGTGAGCCACAGAGGCAAATTCAGGAAGTCCAGAAAGCCTGCCAAGCAAATGCTGATGGATAGCTTTCAGTTAGAATTCAACAGCTCCAAGACCGCGGATCAGGAAAACGGGGAAGCCTCAGGCACCGAAGTGCTACACTCTGGAGGATGGAGTGAAGCAGCAAGTAACCTTCAGGGGCGACGGGGTTCAGCGGAGGAGGGGTTTCAGATGGGTGACCCACACATGACTGATCTGCACCTTCACTTGAATGGTGAAAAACAGGAATCGCCTCATCAACAGCTGCCCACCACAGAGCTCAGGAGTTCAC